AGTCACTTCTAAATCATCAGCCTGACCCTAAAGTGAACAGGATGAAAGTGCCCAAGGACAGTGACTGATTTCTGGTTGCTATTCTCTGTGTGCATGGAGCCCGGGCTTAAGGCCATTATATGCTCAGGGTGTGGACAAAGTTTACTTAAGGAATCTTTCCTGTGTTTAAATGGGCTAAGTTTGTTTTGAAGGTAACGAATGAAGTCATTAGTGACGCAACAAGACTGGGCCTGAAGCGAGATTTAGTGATAGTCTTGAGGCTGATTCACTTCTACAAATTAGTAGAGAAAACGCTTTCACAATATCCGAAAGTTGAGAAAGTTCACTCCTGCCTTTTTTTGTGGTCAAATGCCGCTTGGGGGCAACTTGTCGACTCGTCTGGCTGAATGCTTCAGGCTCGAATTCCGCCATGGTTCCTTAAGAGGACAGGGTTGTATCAGAATTAGATGCAAAGCAGATTGAAACTCAGCAGACAAGCATACCTTCTCCAGTCTTCGTGGAATACTCAACTTTCAAATCATATTTGTCACACGACCACCGAAATCGAAATTAATATGTCCTTCATGGATGGGTTCTGGTAATTTCGAGGCATTTTTGTGATTAATGTTAGGTGTTGTCTTCCAATGAGTCACTTCATAATGCACTTTCTTATGAAATGAAATTCTCCGCAACATTCCACACGCGTTGATGAAATCCATTTGCTTAAAAAGCCCAGGTTGTCGCGCGAATCAACGAAATGACGTACATGCCCATGAGTCCTCTCATTCACGACAAGAATCTTGTCGGCACTTACGATGAGACGATGAGGCGAAATTAAAAACCTGGACAAATCTGGACGAGAACCACCGCTTGAAATGCTCAACTTCAAGGCTTCTCTTCATTTAATTGGAGCTAGAATAATTATCACTTCATACACGATATAAAAGTAAGAACTCCAATCGGCCAGGCAATAATCGTCATTTAATTCAGTGGTTGAGATATCCGCTTTCTAAGAAGATTCCAAAACCAGTCGATTGTTGAGGCCATCAGAGCCAATTCTCACTTTACTGCTTCATCGGAAGGCATGTAGCAAGACTGTTGCGAGCTTCCTTGAGCAAGATACAAAGGCTCATCATGTGACACATCATGTGTAGACTAGAAAATGATATCGTAAGTGTGGCTTAATAGTATTAAGATTATCCCCAAATCGTAGGACAAGACCTCATCATTCTATGGAATTTCACATAACCTTACTTTCTCAAAAGGTACTCTCATCCGTGCTGAAGTGAGCTGGAATTTCGACGTCGCCTCGGTTTCATCAGCATCCTCAGGGGACCCGAACCCAAATAGTGCAGTGTACAATCGGGATGAGAATATCTTTTGGGAAGCAAGTCTATGCGATATTCAATGGAAATATGAGGCTCTTTCATATGATTTTGGGATAATTTAACTATGAACTAAATGGGGCGAATACATCTCTAATATCACATATACTGGTAGCCTCGAAAACCTACTTATGGCCTAATCTTGCGTGAATCCATGTGGAGCTCACCGATCCCATCGTTTCTATCTTGTCCGAACCTTACCGACTCGGCGGTTATCAGATCTACCATGTCGTGTGTGTGCACATGTGTGTACATTCTTTTGCAAATTTCTGTTTTACCTTTCTTAGTATCAACTGAAAATCATCTTTACTTCAATTTTATTTAGACTAAATTTAGAAGTTGTGCTTTCTTGATTAATTTGTTGGTGGCGATGATGATAATTATAATCATTATCATCATTAGAAGATGAAGAGTCCACCGAGTTTTGTTTAATCTACTGTCACTCAAATTTTCTGCGAAGTTCGGCTTACTACAGTACTTGAGGCATCCTCACTTAGTTAAGTGATGCCGTGGCAGATATCATAAGAGCAAGACTCATTCTTACGCAAAAGTTAAGAATATATTAATTTAAGACAACTTCACAGCAAGTCTTTCCTTTCTGTATTTATTTATAAAAACAACTCAATTAATGTCAGCTATTTAAACACTCGCTTAAATATTATCATTAATAATATTTTATATTTATCTATTTTGATACACCCTTATGCTTTGGGTGCGTGTGAACATATATATCTACGATTTCCCACTTTAGCAAACCAGGGAGACTAATAACTACGATTAAACAATGCCATACCTTTACACCATTAAAGTGTTTATGTTTTCTAGCCAAAGCATGAAAAATGTTACTTCAATTATAACCAGAGTCGAGGAGCCGTTGGTTGTGTCGTCTTCATTTTGCAAAAAGCTCAAGTCATTCTCTATTCCTAAGTCCATCAAATGGGTATAAGTAGTTTTTACTCAATTTATTAATTACACCCCCAGTTTTCATAGTCGGCAAACCCCAGAGTATCATATCACTCTCTTTTACGCCGAAGTTCTGACATGTGCTCTTCGCCTTCTGGCCCCGGATCCAAAATCCCCTAAAAGCTAGTTTTAGGCCAGATTTTGGTGAACGGGACGACGGTCGCCCCGGTCCAATTTCGGCCATATGAACACACTATTGTTTAGTGGGCTATTTTGGATAAACAGGCATATTTCGCTTTAAAGACGAATATACCAGAAGAAAGTGTCTAAGTGTATTTTAAAAACTTTAGGATTTTCATGAAAATGTGATTATGCTTCTAGAAAGAGGGCAAGAAAATAAAATAAAAACTTAAAATCGAATGCAGTAAGGCAATCTTAAATTCTAAATATTTGTTATTATCATCTATGCAATTTCGCCCTTCAGAGTTGGAGTATTCTCAGTTTTAAAGATATAAAAGTCTCACATTCACGCCTATGGACACAAATGGACACTCACGAGAGTAAAAGTCCTTCTGGACGTCCGTAATAATGTATACGTCACTGTATCGGCTGAAAATGGCAAATGAAGAAGAGCTCGGTGAAATAGATTTGCTCAAACCTGATAACTCTTCGAATCGGCTAAACTCTAGGGCGACTCAATTATTTAGCGTGAGCCAACATTGCATTTTTAAAGAATGATTAGTTGAATAGATTCTTAAATTGGCCTCACTTAAAACCGACGGAGGTTTGCTTTGCAGTCATTACTGTGATTCTTCATTGTCCCATGCTGCCAATTTACTTATCGGAGCTGCATTCATCCTATTTAGTTTAGATTAATGACTGATTACTGGTTGAACTTTCCCACAATCATATGAGGCCGTCTCACACTTCCATTTACTTTCACATGGACTTGCTTCTTAAAAGTAATTCTGGTTCTTTTGGGAATAAAGTTTATGCGAACTTCAACGAAAACGTGAGGCCTACTCAAATAACTGTGGGAAAATTCAACTGCCAGACTATCATCATGTTACACGAAATAGGTTGAATAAAGCCATTATATCAGATATACTGGTATTATAGAACATTTAATCCTTAAAAAAGTGAAAACAATTCACAAATCCTCTGAAACTAATCATTGCCTAAAACTGAAAGCTCAAGCAATACTAAATTATCTCGAACTTCTTCAAAGACCATCTTTGCTTCATATAGTCACTAATTTGTGAATCAAAGCTCCCATTGCGAAACGCGAACAGAGCCAACCGGTTTGCTTGAGACACCCGGCACAGCTTGGATTTCAGAATCGGGTTTTGTAGGCCGGTTCAGACCAGCTCGCCACTGAAACGGGTCAAGCTCTTGAGAACCAACCGGGCTAGGCCCCCAACAGCAGAGTTTGTTAGAGGTTTCAGAATTTTCCTCTTGACGCACTCACAGGCCTAGGGCAGACATGCAAAGACAGGCGCCATAAGCGGTCGTAAATGTTTCAAAGACCTGTTGACATGCGTTTTGAAGGCCTCCGATTGAAACTGTCTCTTGTGAGGTCCTGTGGACGCAAATGCGCCTGAGTGCTTAAAAGCCAATAATACGAGAGGAGAAAGGCGCAGAAATCAGGCATCCGGGACTCAGAAAGACATCTAATTTCCCAAAGTACCTCAAAAAGTCAGACAGCTTCGCCAAGTCTCTCGAGTATGAACCTCACCTCAGGGAGATGGAACCCCATTCCCACGAGATAAGCAAACTTGGCTAGACTGAAAACGGAATGGTCGGAAGGCCTTAGCTGTTGACACCCCTCTTGTGGCAGTTCTGCTGACATTCGCCCTAAAAAAACACATATGTACGCACACACACACACACACATATATATATAAATATAATGGCATACTAACCCGCCAAGATAGAGGCGGACTTGAAGAGTTTCACATGCACACACGTACGCATTCAGACAGCGGCGGACATGCACAGTGTTTTGGCTAGGATTTTATAATCCGCAGTGACTCGTCAACCGAGTCCTCGGAAGGGAGATCACAGGCCCCCCGAGGAGTAAGAGACTGTCTTTTATGCACGATTTTTAGACAATTAAAGTGGTAAGACAAATGAAGCAATGAAGGCGCATCGGTGTGCGCTTGTGTGCCTGTGTGAAAGGGGGAGAAGAATATGTGAATGCGAGCGAGCCAAGTGGGGTTTGAGGGCGAAAGTAAGACTGCGTAATATTTGCACACAAAATTTGTCTCAGCCCCTCACAATTCTTCACACCTACCAGCCTCAATGGACTACAAGCAACTCCATCCCATGCCCTTCACCCACCCTTGGTGGGAGGACTCCATTTTTTGACATCTATGACATACCAATCCCCGGTCCGCATCGTTGTAACCGGGCGGGCAGCCTCCGTCTGACTAAACCAGGTGGTTCCGCCTCACAACCCTGGCCTCGAGGCCAAAACACTCGGCTGGTAGACTCAGAGCTGGGCGGATTCGATGGGGCCCTCAACCCCGGCTCCCTTCATCATCGCCGGCTTTACGGATCATAAGGCCAAGCAGGCCGAGCAAGCAGTAAATACCAATTTTACATGTCCAAAACACTAACAAAAATTCATTTACACGAGGTTTTTTCGCCACGACTATATGCCATTCCACTGTATCCTATGGGCTCGGGATAGTTCGAGTTTGGACGGCTCTTTGTCAGTTTAAAGCTGTTAGCATCTCGACGGTTTTTGTAGATTATTGTCCGCAGTAGATTTCCCAATTATTTGCGCATATTTGCACCTAGTTGCCTTGCTTTTCTCCATTTCTCCCACTAATCTACCAAGTGAAGTGTATTGTAGGTATGCTTTATTTCTTTTCTTTCGGCTTTCCTTCCTCTAATTCTTGTGTACGTGTGTGTGTGGGTGGGTGTGTATGTGTGTGTGCATATGTGTGTTCGCTTGTGGAGGCCTATTGTACATTTCCATGCACATGTGTGCATGTTTATTTAACACACCGGCATAAGTGAGCGTAAAAGGTGTATAAAAACTCTGTCCCCAAAGCCTAGTCTTGTAGTAGCCGGCTTGAATACATACGAAATCATAAAACCAGTTTATTAAGATCGAATATGGCGATCCCATTGGTAAGCAGCACAAGAAATAATGGCCTTCGAAGAATTCGTGCATAAAATTTATTTGACGCATTCGACCATAAAACACAAATAAGTTTAAGCAAACATTTTGGTCGACTCTATGCAGTCGATAGGTACCAAATAACCTACCCTAGTCCATCTGAAACCAATCCCTTTACACTTCAATACAGCTCCGTGAGCGCTTAATTCCGCAAACACAAGCACGTAGTCGTGTTTGCGCAGCGCATGACACGAGACCTGAAGTAGAGCTTCTCAAATGGCAACCCATATTTCATGAGGTGTCCTGTGAGCTTAATTCCCAACGTAACCTAACGTTCATGAACAGTCTGTCGCCATGGCAGCTGAATTGAATATGCAACAACAGTAGAAATTTAGGCTGCAGTAAAGGTGGAAAACAGCCCGAATAGGACTCGTCGAAGATGGCTTCATGACGTCTCATTTGAGCATAGAATAGAGAACCCCATACACATGGAAATTATTTCATGCTAATTGTTGCTTGGGTGTAATAGTTTTAATTGGTTTTTTTCATTGAAATGACTGAAATTTAGGCTAAAACGAAGTGATGAATTTCACTTCAGGCTGGTTGAGCACGCTGAACCTTGCCTCATCGCATTATCATTACCGCCTCGGCGGGATTCAAACCATGGACCTGATGGTTAAATGGCAAACAGGTCAACATCCTAAACAACTCAATCATGCTCTCTTCCA